TGACAATTCTTTTTTTTTGTAGCTCTGATGCTTTGTTATATCGTTAATTCTTTGATATCATCATTAATCTGAAGCTCTTCATACCATCATATCGTCTGCCTGATGGATAACTCTTGAAACGCTAATATGGAAAATATTCCTGTTTGGATTATATCCCAGAAGACATTTGGCGTTGTTTCTGGGTACCCCATCCCAATGAAAGGGTCAGGTTTCCTTTCTTGTGTGTAAATTAGCCAATCCCTCATGGTTATGTAACGTCGACAGATCAGTGTATGGAATCGTTACGTGACAAATATTGAGCCAAAATTTAATGAAATATAAAGATATGTCTCCTGTTTTTGAAAGTCTATCGCCGGGTCGAAACCAACAAAGCCAGGATCTATTTTATTAAAAAAAAAAAATTTAAACGGAGAGAAAACCAAGACAAGTATCACAAAAGGAAAGACTTTTTTTTTTGGCGATGTACAATTAATTCTTTATTGATTATTTTCTTTTCAATTTTCAATAGTCATCACGCTCCAGTTGATAATTTCTCGACTGATAAGTAGTGAGGCTGAAAATATGGAATGAATTTATGGTTTCTTCTCTGTGGGCCACTTGATTAAACTGGGTAATGTCATTGAATATAGTGTCGTCTGCATTCAATGATGGACATGAGGCGTAAAGAAATACAAGTATGAAAAAATGTTACGAACAAAGGGAGAGAAGTGAGACTGCCTAGAATGCTAGAAAAAGATTGATAAAAAAAAAGGAAGCAGACATCTAGATAAAGAGAACCAAAGAGACGTGCCTGGTTATGGAAATATGTTTATTAAGCTTCTCTCTCAGACTATCACTACTGTAGCGATTTCGATGTCCAGTGAATCTCTTACAATTATAGTTATTTTCCAAGCGTAGCTTAGATGTGGCACAAGGCCGAAAGTATGGGGCGCCCAGTGAGGATCGAACTCACTACTAAGTCGTAATTTTTTCTAGTGAGACACGCTTGCTAACCATTACACAACCTCGGGGTGCCCTATCGTTCATACGATTGTTATTTATTATGTATAAAAATACATAATTAGGCCCAAAAGGGGGAGGGGTTGAGACTGGTCAACATTATCTTATACCTAGCTAATCTGATTCACGACCCACTCACACATTACAATTTTCACATTCAGCATAAAAACTCGTCCGTCACCAATCAATCCTCCATACACAATAATATCGCATTCTCTCAAGGGGGACCTACAAAACGCGTCCCATGCCATAAATATCTCTCTTACAATTATAGGCTTGTACCAGTTCAAGCTTACTAAATATCAGTAACCCGAACAACTTATGCAGATCAGTACAATCTGGAAGACGTTAACTCTTTGCCATCCAATTATAACAAGCAAGTTACTGTAGTAGACTATTACGACTGCAGTGATTTCGATTCTTAATTGACACTCAACGCTTTTAGCCTTGTTCGAAACTAAGCTAAGTGTAATAAACAGATTTTTGAGTTACTTATTAAACGGCTTAGTTTGTCATTTAGTAAGCACTGACATCACAATATTAGCAAAGCATACTTTAATACGTTACAAGGCCAATTGAGAAGATTAAAATGCACAAGGTGGGTTAGCCATCTTGACTTGAAACTCAGCATTCAAAGTTACGGGTTTTACCTCGACTAGCAACACTTGTGGTAAGTGTGAAGCTTTTTGGCTGATAGATTCTTTAGCCTTCTTCAGGTATATTATCCATCCATTCGGTATAGGTTCATTTACTTCGAGCAGCATCGTACTCCCTCTACTGCTTTCGTATTTCGACTAAAATCAAATGTGACGATGGATACCACATCGACCAACACATGCTCATACCTTATCAGATACGCAATGATTTGAATATTTAAAAACTATTGAAGCAGAGACGTTATATTACCAAAGTGTTCAGCCATTTAATATTAAAAAAATAACCTACCCAGGGCAATGGTGAATTGGTCTTTTTCAAAATAATTCCATTGCTATATAACGAATTCCCACCAACGTCTATTCTACTTCTCATCAAAACATTTGTCAAATTTCTCTTTTGGGATTGTTATCAATTGTCTCGCCGTCTGGGTATGACGATAATCTATGTTCGACAGCAAGGCCTCTGATCAAGAGGTTTTGAGGAGTGTGGAAACACCTTTTAATTGTTGGTGTTCCCAGGTCCACCCTAACCAGTAGTGATAGCACCTGTTAGGATCCCAGCTATGAACAAATGGTTAAACCACAAACGCGTCTGCGTTCTGGGTAAGACAATAAACTACATCCAGAGTCCTTGGTAAGACGATAAACTACGTCCAACAGCAAGGCCTCTGATCAGGAGGTTTTGAGGTGTTGCCAGGTCCACCCTAACACTGGGTGGTAGCACCTGTTAGGGTCCCAGCTATGAACAAATAGTTGACCCCCAAACTGGGGTCAAAACACTATGAATTATAGAAATAGGTTTTAATACAAGTAATACATTTTTGTAAAAGGTTATTACCAGCAATGAATTTTTGAAGAAAAAAATTATTACTAGCAATACATTTAAAAAATATATTACCAGCAATATATTTTTGGAAAAAATATTGGCAGCAATGGATTATTGGAAAAAATACCAACAATAACAATCTTGTCGGCATTAAATAACCCATTGAGGTTGATATACCGTAAAACAAACCGAACCAAATCAATTGTCTTGTTGGTTTCTCTCAATCGTCTCCACGGTCTGAAATCAATTACAGGTTATTTTATTGGGTTGAATCATAATTAAATTCCGTTTTGGGAACAAACTGTAATTATGAATGCATCATCCTAACTAATCTTTCCCTAAATATATCATGACAGGTGATGAAAAGTAGATTACATACAACAATGTTTAACGCAAAAGATAGTGAACTGACAAAGACACCCCCCCCCACAACCAACCTCAAAATATAATAATAGATAATATAGATCATAGATATCTATAACATAGATAATAGATAATATCGTGTGTGGGTTTGGATCGTCATTCATTTAGAGTTCTTAAAAAGCAATGAAACATTAAATGTAAAAATGTACCTTTATACATTCAGTAGCTACAATGTGTCCATAACAATCTGGTTGAAAATCCCCCTGCGCTCGTCGATAGTAAAAATATTACTCTCCTCAATGACATCTTAAGGCTACATACAGAAAAAAAAGAACAACTCTGGAATTCGGTCGGTCTGTTCTATTCCATCTGCCATATTCATCTAATCCTGCACCAACCAATTATTACTCTTTTCGATTGCTGCCAAATGATTTGATGGGGATAAACTTTCTTTAATGAAAACGAAAATTAAGAGATCGTTGAAAGCATTTTCATCTATCTATATAAAATTATGTAACTTCCGTTAGTCCGTCCGTCTGTTCGTCCGTCCACCAAAACTTCTAAAATAGCAATATATTGATAAATCAAAACCAGTTTTGGGGGAGAAGTGAAAACAGGTACAGTTGGTTTTACTAGGGGGCATAGCTTAGTACAATGAATTTTAATTATTTTTTTAAATTAAAATTTGATTATTTTACATACCACCACAATTTAAAAACAATGACTAAAATAATAAATACTTATTTAATAAAAATGCTATATTGCTTTTTGCATATCTTTTAAGTTTTTATATATAAGAATCCAGTTTCCAATTCGCTATGCGTTTACGAGAACTGTAAACAAATCATAAAGCCAAACATTTCAAAAAGTTGGAATTTCTTCTCCAGAAATAAATATTTACGTATGGCGTATGTTGCATGCTCAAGAGTAAGAAATCCTAAGTATTTATTCTTGGCTGTTAAAAAGGAAAAGAAATTTTCTTAAAATATTTTTGTTTACCATGAAGTCCTATAAAATTAAATTAAAGAATTTTTTAAACCGCGAAGTAAGGTTTTTGTCAAAGTATTTTTCTAAACAAATCATCTTATTTAAATTTCATCGATTGGTTTGCGAAATTGAACGAAACGTAGAGTTTGTAATTCTCGACAATCATATAAGCGATAACTTTGACAATACTAAATACTGTGAGGACTTGCAAAACAATTCTAGTAGAAAGAAAACACTGCTGAATTTTATTCAAAAGGAATCGAAGAGATTCCTGATTAGAGACAACAATTCATTGGAGATAATGGTGAATATATAATTGAATAAAATATAATTGTACGTTATTTTCCGAAGAATAAAGTTGCTGAAGAAAAACCGATAAATTATTTCTAGCTCAACCTGATAGCTTTGGTTAAAGACAGAGTTTTATAAGGAAGCAGTTTTAGAGGCTTGCAAATTTTTCTTTTATTTCTTTTCGATCCAGAAAGTAATTGCTCGATATGTGAAAAACCTACTCGTCAGATCAAAGATTGTGAATGTGAGAGTCCCTCCAGGACGTACGCGATCATTGCTCTCCTCAATTTCCTGTCCTTTTTAACTTTTTGCTATCTCTCCTAACCCCTGTTTTGCAGACTATTTACCAAAGTTCGTTAGATAGAACATGCGCTGATTTCCCTTGTCTTTTTTGTCTTCATTACGTCTTGTTAGTGTCAAATATTCTTAGCCCCCTTTCCTCATTATATTTCCAAGAAATTTTAACTGTTTCTTTCTTGAATATAAGTATCCTGTTTCCATGTGACAGTCACACAAATTCATCATATATATATATATATATATATATATATATATATATATATATAAGTATAGGATTGGTGTATACGGAATAAATTCCAATAACCAACAAATACTATTCTTAAAAGAGTGCTCAATACAGAGTAGAGCAAATATAATTATTTATTCGAAAATTATAACATAAATATGTTATAAAATCACTACAAAGATAGCCATTTTGTTTCAACATGTTATAAAATCCGTACAAAAATAGCCATTTTGTTTCAACACTTCTGGTAACTTATTAAGTGATGGTCACTACAAAATAGCCATTTTGTTTCAGCACTTCTGGTATCTTATTAAGTGATGGTCACTACAAAATAGCAATTTTGTTTCAACACGTATAGATAGATAGAGGTGGATAGGTAGATAGATAGATAGATGTGAATACATAGATGGATGTAAATAGATAGATGAAAACAGAGATAGACACATCAATACGTCTAAAGTCTAGTTACGATAAAGGACATTTTATAAAACAAATATATATTTTTCAACATAATTCCCTTCTTGTCAACTCTTCTCCATTTATCGTATAGATCGATTTTTATTTAGTTAAAATTTTGGGTCATTTAGCCAATTATAGGCGATATATATATATATATATATATATATAAAGATAATAGGAAATTTTATCTTGGCCAACGCGTTTCGTAGTCTGATGGACTTTATCAAGGCAAATATAACGATTTTAATTTGCAACAAGTATTTATAAACAAAAGCAACACTTTTGTTGATTTTCAATTATATATATATATATATATATATATATATATATATATATGTATATACAAATAAAAAGAAAGAACTGTAAGATGGAAACATGGTTAGAACTGTGTAGCGAAAAAACATATTTTAAATCAATTAATTTATAATATATATATGTATATATATATATATATAATTATTTATTAGAAAATTATAACATAAATATGTTATAAAATCACTACAAAAATTCTACATTCAACACCATCACTTGACACCAGCTATCCAGATCTATCTATCTATTCACATCTATCAAGTAAGAATTGAGAGAGAAAGATAAAGAGATAGAGATTTTCCAAGCGTAGCTCGGATGTGGCAAAAGGCCGAAAGTATGGGGCACCCAGTGAGGATTGACCTCACTACTCAGTCGTAATTGTTCTAGCGAGACAAGCTTCCTAACCATTACACCACCTCGAGGTGCCCAGTAGTGAGAAAGGAATAAAAAATAACAATTAGAAAGACAATATGGTACAAATAACCCAAATGAGATATGTGATGTAGTCCGAAAGAAGAAAAGATGTTTTCTCAAATTTGTTGTTTTTGTTAATGAGAGAAAATTCAAAACCAGACTGAAACCCTATCGCAACATTCATTTGAAATTAAGGCTAATTCTAGGATTTGGATTCATTTTTTATTGAAGTAGGTTTGAAAATAATCAAGGTTTATTGCAAATCGATAAAAATATCCAACGACTGTGTGTTCTCATTTCTCTGCGAGGCGCAAAATTATTATGGGTAGAAGGAGTCACATATTAACCCTTCTTTTTGTCTATTTTATTCAAAATTTGTTGTCTCCTTCCTTACAATGTATTGTGAATATTTGTCTTCTTTTTAATTGTTTTTATATTGTTGATTCAGTCACATTTTTTAAACATTATTTTTTTTTTTATTCCATTTTGATTGGAATTTTCATTTTGAAAGTAAAATGGTACAGATAGACTTATTAAAAGCCGAAAACATTCCCAACTTACATTTAGGACGACTTGAGTGAGCTGGAAAACACGGCAAATCGTCACTAGACAGATGGATTTTCTTAGATGAAACTAAAAGAGTTCGGGAAAAAGAAAAATATTTTAAATCACAAATACTAATCAGAAAATACTCCTATTTTTGTTTTTAAATATTTTAAAAAGGAACATGTGAGAAAAAATGACTCGCCATAAATTGGCGGACTGAAAAAAAAAAAAAAACAAAAACAAAAAAGGGGCTAACCAGTTATAGTTACTTGTTTTTGAAAACCAATTGAGGACAACAACTGGTAAATATGTGCACATTGACTAAAAAAGGTAGAAGAAAAATACTACTAGCAGTATAAATCAGACAGATTATATTTAAACCCAGCAGTCATTCCTTTTGCTTAGACTTAATATACATGTCGTCAAAAATTCTCAGATGGTAATCCAAATGAATTTTTCTGTTTATCGTGAAAAGAAAACCACGATGAAAGATAATGCACAAGTCAGATTATTTATTAAGTATTCTACAATCATAGAACCAGAAGTAATAACAAGCATATTCAAATTTTCATACTGCTCTTGATGGATGTTAGCTGGTTACGTGATAATCAATTCTAGTTTCAAACCTTTGATTAGTTCTGCCAATATATTCAGCATCACACTGACATTTGTAATTATAAATCACTGAACTAGCTTGATGGGGTGCGGCATAGGTTGGGAAGTAAAACATAGCAGGGGATTTATATACTATAACTTTCAATAAAAAAACTCTTCAAGAATAGGCATTTTAAAAGTCAATATAAATATATAATAAAATATAAAACAAAGAGCGGGGAAGAGCAAAGGTAAGAAAAATATACTTACTGTAAAGTGTAAAAAAAATAGGTGTGTAAAAAACAAACAAAATAATAGACTTCTTACTTATCGACCCAGGACAAGAAATATATATATATATATATATATATTTTTTAGTAATTTCTTTGTTATATTTTTTCTATCCACTACTTTACGGTGAGTAATTTCTTTTCTTATGCTCTGCTTTTCCAATCCATTTTTTTTATTTTTATATATTTGTGTATGTATTTATATATATATATTTTTTCAAATACCCCTTTTTAAAGCTTTTTATAAAATTTTGTACCCCCAACAGATTATTTATCTCATATATTTCAGAGGTCAACCAGCGAACTGTGTCGAACGAATTGGGTTAGCTGACCTAAATCGGCCAAGAAAATATATTCTCATACAGAAAACGACTCTATTTACGAGTGCTGAACTATTATGTGATATCAATCCTCTTGTATGACATTGAATATTGTGTAATCTCACCAAAAATTAAGAGAAAACTGGAAGCAACAGAAATGTGGTTCTACAGAAGGATATTGAGAATTCCATGAACGGAGAAACAAGTAACGAAGAACTTTTAAGAAAAAATTCATTAGAAACAAAGAAAAAAGTCATGAATTGCTATGTGACATCAATCCTCTTGTATTACAGAGAACGCCGGACAATCTCACCACAGACTGAAAGCAACAGAAATGTTGTTCTACTGAAGGATACTGAGAATTCCACGTGAGAGAGCGACGAAGAAACAAAGAAATCTTAAGGAAAATTATGTTATAAACAAAGAAAAGAATGGTGGAAAACTATGCGATATCAATCCTCTTGTTTGACAGTGAATGCTAGACAATTTCCCCGCAGATGATGAGGAAACTGAAAGCAACAGAAATGTGGTTCTACAGAAGGATACTGAGAATTCCATGGGCGGATCGAGTAAGTGAATGTTAGCTTATCGGCCAAGTGAAGAATCAGTCCCCACAAGAAGGCATTTTGGTCATCCACCATAATTGATAGGACAAGTGATCCATCTCCAATATATTTATCAAGTCTATCAAAGCATAGGAAAGATATTAATCCATTTTTCTCTTCCCAGCTATGGGTAAAATAGCAAGACATACTGGGCTCTAAATCCTTGGTTGGCAACAAGGAGAAGTATAACACTAAATTCAAACCAGCATAGTGTTATGGTGGAACACACCTATTCTATAGATAATAGACTCTTCCACCTATAATAAGTAAGAGTAACGAGTCGGTCAGTCAGTGAGTCGATGTCGGACGACAGTTAGTCGAATACGAAAGTATCAGCGACCACAACCAGATTACTCTGCGTTATACCTATTATATCAAGTTCCTAACGTTTTGTACGTCGAACCTATTTTAGGACCGACTTAGTACAAATACAAGCCTCCACTGCGAAATCACTCCACAACACAGAGAGGGTTGGGCACCGTCAGGATAACTTACCCAAGACACCCCACTGTTACTAGGGCTGTGGTACATATGGCGCACTGTCAACCATAATGAGTATCATGACTCGTCGTCGTGAAAGTCAAAATGATAGAATTCCAGAATTCCGATAGATTTCGGCCAGACTTCTGATATATTTTGAACAGCTAGGCTGAGGTGTGCAGAGAGTTGTAGTAGTAGTTGTCCCCCAGAGCTTAAAGACAATCATCAAATAGCATCATAGGGTTTACGGTCACATGACATTGACACACCGGTTCCCGTACGATCACCGAAGTTAAGCAACGTCGAATTTGGTTAGTAACTATAATGGTGACCGTTTGGGAATACCAGGTGCTCTAAGCTTTGAAGGACGGCGTGATGTAATGGATAATGGCTCGGAATTGTTAATCGGAGAGCCGAGTTCTAGTTGAGTTCTTTATAGCCACTCACATGCAAATACACTTTGGAAAACTATGAAACCACCTCTTCTCCCCAGCTATGGATTAATTAGTAAGATTTGTATCACTAAATCATTGTTACCACGAAAATGTCTTGAAATCTAATATTATCTTCTGGCTTTAAATAACCTGCAAAGGACACATGGCACAGTGGTTAAAGGCGTTGGTTAGATCCAGAGGGCCCAAAGACTTGTGAGTTCAATACCTGGTTAAGGCAGTGGAGAACTTGGAGAGGGGAATTAACAGGAGATAACTGATATCTGACATCCATTAGACAAGGCGCGTGGAACTAGAACAGTCTACCCCAGCAAGCGAAATAAAGGGTTCAGTCCGATATTCCAACCACCTGAAGAAGGCCGGAGCGTACAACGGCCGAAACGTTGTGATAAATATGGATTGCTGAAGAAAAACCGATAAATTATTTCTAGCTCAACCTGATAGCTTTGGTTAAAGACAGAGTTTTATAAGGAAGCAGTTTTAGAGGCTTGCAAATTTTTCTTTTCTTTTATTTCTTTTCGATCCAGAAAGTAATTGCTCGATATGTGAAAAACCTACTCGTCAGATCAAAGATTGTGAATGTGAGAGTCCCTCCAGGACGTACGCGATCATTGCTCTCCTCAATTTCCTGTCCTTTTTAACTTTTTGCTATCTCTCCTAACCCCTGTTTTGCAGACTATTTACCAAAGTTCGTTAGATAGAACATGCGCTGATTTCCCTTATCTCTCTTGTCTTCATTACGTCTTGTTAGTGTCAAATATTCTTAGCCCCCTTTCCTCATTCCAAGAAATTTTAACTGTTTCTTTCTTATATTGAATATAAGTATACTGTTTCCATGTGACAGTCACACAAATTCATCATATATATATATATATATATATATATATATATATATATATATATATATATATAATATATAGGATTGGTGTATACTGAATAAATTCCAATAACCAACAAATACTATTCTTAAAAGAGTGCTCAATACAGAGTAGAGCAAATATAATTATTTATTCGAAAATTATAACATAAATATGTTATAAAATCACTACAAAGATAGGCATTTTATTTCAACGTGTTATAAAATCCGTACAAAATAGCCATTTTGTTTCAACACTTCTGTTATCTTATAAAGATGAGGACGATAGTCCGAATAATGTAAATAGTGTACATAATACCTCATCTCAGAAATATAGACCAACCTGAAAAGGGTTGATAAGCCATGAGAAATGAATCAACCTATCAAAAAACAACATCAAATCGGCAGTTTTTCAACAGGTGAAGAATGAAATAGAAATTAGCGTGGTAAAAGAAAGCTCTGCACATGCCATCTTGAAAACGAGGAAGGTACACCTCAACAGAAAGTTCTCCGAGCTGTGTTTCTTTAGGGCGTAGGTGTTCATGACTTTCCACAACCTCCTCCTCTCGTTTGTAACTCTTAGCAACGTTTCTCCTTTGCCAAGCCCCACGCTATCCATTTACCAATATTCGATCCAGCCCGCTGCTTTTCTCTACAACTTTTGTCTTTCATATCTAATGCGAGTGTCAAATTCTCCAAACCCTCTTTCCTCATTATGTGTTTATGAAATTCCATCTGTCTCTTTCTTACTTGGAGTATGTGTACCTTTTGTTCCAATTTTCCTGAAGACTTTGTTGCTTACAGGCTCCGTCCAAGGTATACTCAGTATCCTTCTGTAGAATCACATTTCTATTGCCTTCAGTTTTCTCTTCATCTGAGAGGGGGTTGTCCAGCATTTGCTATCGCACAAAAGGATTGATATTAGATAAGAGTTCAGCACTCTTAACCACATGGCGAGAATGTGAGAAACAGTTGAACTGCTGACTAAAGACTACGACAGCCAGGCGAAGTGACCGACAGCGAAGTAATTCTTTAGACCAGTGACAGTAGTACCATCGATTAGGCGAGGCTGATCGATCGGAGTTAAAATCCTTTTTTACGCCGTTAAAACGTGGGAAGAGTAGATACAGTCTTGAGACATTTATAATCAAGAAAGGCAAACAAAGCAACCCTCGGTCGCTATTGTTAGCTGCCTTCGACATTATTTCAAAATCCTGGAAACCGTCAACAATAATTAATTGTGGTGAGCAGCCGGTGACCACTCGGGAGTGCTTCGATATTGGACCCGAAGATCTATTCAAATCTTACGGTGGCGAGATCCGTCGGTTTTCCGGGATCGAAGGCCCAACAGATAATATACAACTATTTGGCAAGAAATATTTGCATTGTGGATTCTGATATAACATCAATAAAACCCGTCTGTGCTCAGTAAGAAAGTGGAGTGATGATCTTTTGTTTTTTAAAAGATAATCGCACTAGATATTGTGTTATAGGAAAATACCGATGTAAATGCGTGAATACTTGTATGAACAGAAGGAATTCTTGTGTCGTGATATTAATGTCGATAGATATCCTTTCAATCAATTTGTCTATGACAAAGAAGCGTACAAATAATTTGGTTGTCACTGGATAAAATAGGCTAATTCAGAATATACTTCTGCTACACAAGGTAAATTAAGTTCTTCAGTGAATATTAGTTTAATTGCCTCTAACACTAAATATGCTAACACTTTCTTCACCGTATCCCGACTTATATATCACCATGTCTCATGATGTTCAATATCGATTTACCTATCATCACATCATGTTCATAATTTACCTATCTTCACATTTCATAAACTTCAGTATCTATCTACCTAATGATGCTCAGCATCTATCTATCTAATGATTCTTAGTATTTATCTATGTATCTAATAATGCGCAGTATCTATCTATCTATCTATCTATCGATGCTCAGTATCTACCTATCTAATGATTCTTAGTATTTATCTATGTATCTAATGATGCGCAGTATCTATCTATCAATCGATGCTCAATATCTCAGTATCTATCTATCTATGCTCAGTAACTATCTATCTATCTATCCTGATGCTTCGAATGTCATGGATTAGATACCTAGTATCCTGTAGGTCCCCCTTTATTACAGTGACGTGTAGTAATTCAACGTCGTATCGATTCCACAAATGGTTGGAATGTCTTTGGAAAAATATTGTGTCGTACGGTCTGTTGTTCTCTGATATATTTAGACGAAAAATGTAACACGCTAAGAAGCCTCAACAATCACCTCCCATAAATTCTCGATTGTTCTCATGCCGGGCGAACGCAGTTGTCACAGTATTCATCGAAAGCCTCTAGTATTCTCTTCAAATCAATTCTGGGCAATGACATGTTGCGTCAATCTGTTCATTGTTTGGTGTATACGCAGATCATGAATCGGCGCAAATGATCACGAAGCAGTGTAACATAGACCTCAATGGAGTGGTTGTGCGGATTAGCATACCAAATCCATGTCACGTGGACACACTCCACACCATTAGGAAACAACCATTAGCTTGCCGAAATTCTACCATCTGCTGCTGTCAAGGGCTGGCTGGAGCAGCTGTTGCCGCCGGCCGGCTGGAGCTGTTGCTGGTGAAGAACGGCTGGAGCTGCTGCGGCGGGCCGGCTGTGGCGGAACATATACTACACTTTGATTACAGAAATCTTGGCCATAGATTGTTGCTTTCGATGACTTTTTTTATGCAGTCAGCTACACGTCACTGGCCGGTCCTCTTCGGTGCAATGTCTTCTTCTGGTTGTTTTTTTTTAAGGGTGGGAGCGCCGACAGGATATGACAGTCCTCCAGGGTCCAAAAAGCGTTGCGTTTAGGGTCGTAGAGTTTACACGGACTTCTGTTTCTATATCAAAAATAAGCTAAAGAACATTGAAGTGGCTTGTTGGATAAGCATCTGGTACCACTATCTCTGGCTATATATATCTTTATATGTTTGTCCGTCTATCTATCTTCGAGGCTGAAATATAATTCATTTCGCTTCCCCCGTTACTGTTTCAGCGTGCGAATCTCTCTCTGGCGCAACACTATCTTCCTATGTCTCTCGCAGTCAAAATATTGGTGGGGTTCTATAACTATTTTTTTTTTCATGCTTGCAGCCTGACATACTCTTTATCGTGTAAAAATATATGTTTGACTTCTCATATTTACTTACACGGAAATGCGATTTTCAAATTAAGGCCTTTCATCTGGAAAGATCAAGAAGACGTGAAAAGATGCTTTTAAAATGAAAACCGGCAAAAAGAAATAGGAAAAAAAAATGAAGATTTTCGGATAAACATTTCATGGTCTTCAAGTCGAATGCTGACTAATTAGCAACGGCAGTGAAATTCATAGACAAAAACATTTTTCAGAGATGTAAACGTAAACTGAGATAGACAAATCTGTTGAAAAAAATCACAAAGACAATGTCAAGAATTATAGAATTCATGGAAACAAAGACAAAAAAGGACAAGAATTTCTACGTCTGATATTTTTTGTGACGATGTCGACAATAACGAAGTTAGTAACAAAAACATTAATAACTTGGTTCTTCAGCGATAATAACGAGATGGTCTGGTGTGAAAACAAAAATAAACCACCACCACAAACCAAACACCTCTGATGTGAAAATTCGTACAGAATGTGAAGGATGAACCAGGATAGCAAACTACTGGTCGGAAGATCCCGTGGGTGCGAGATTTTGTCAGTGATTTTTGTGATGGATTGCTTTTGTCTAAGTTTGGGATATAAGAGAAAAAGAAAAAAAAGAATAAAAAAAGAATAAAAAAAGAAAGAAAAACGGAGCTGCGAGAGAGAAAAAAAGCCGTCCGCAAGAGTTTTGAAGAGTCAGCACGCTCTCTCGTATCCAGATTCCTTAGAAAAGCTAACCCGCACGATTTGGCGTGACTTCCACTAACCATCTCCCTCTCGCTACCTCCTAGAATCTGTATTATCACATCTGCATCTCTCGTATAATAAAAAAAACGAATGATAATAAGAAATCACCCTTCG